CAGTGGAGTACTACTCAACTTGCAAAAGAAAAAGATGTTATATTCTAATATGGAAAAATCTCTTAAAATATATCAAGTAAAAAATTCAAGTCAGATACTATACTATGCTTCCACTTGTGTTTTAAAAGTATTGTATCTACATATTTTAAATTTGCGTATCATATCTCTAGTTTCTAGAAATAAAATTCTGCTAGAACAGAGGTTGCAAAGATTTTTTGTAAAGAGACAGAAAATATTTAAGCTTGTGGGCCATTTGTTCTCTGTAGAAACTACTCTGCTCTTCCATGATCAGTGTGAAATCTTCCATAGGCAATATGTAAACAAACAGATAGGGCTGTGTTCCAATACAATGAATTTCCTTTACAAAAACAGGTGAACCGTATTTGGCCTTGGGGCAGTAATTTGCTGCCTGTCATCTAGAGTTTTAAAGAATGGGAAGCAACTAGTAACAGTGGGGAGGGAAATTTGGGGGATTAGGAGGGTCCTGGATGAGAGGGAGTTTTGCCTTTCTGCCTTATACCTGTCTGCTAAATGAACTTTTTCTTTTTTTTTTTTTTTTTACCTGTGCATGTATTCCTTTAAAAATATTCTTTTTGGGACACTGTAACAGTGAAAGAATTTTCCTGAGGAAAATAACGTGTCATTTGTTTTATAAACCTAGTGGAGGAGAATGTGTAAGAAAACTCCACAGGCAGAAAGATGGAGGAATCAGGAGGTGGGAAAAGGTTTTTGGATGGATTACAGATTTTTCTTATTTGATTCAAAGCTCTTTATGGCATTTGTTTCACTGTTACAGAAAGTGTATTCTGTGTTTTAGTTCCATGTCTTATAGACCGACCACACAATTTTTTCCCCTCTTTAATCGATGTGGGAGACTGGATTGTCATTTTTCTTGTTTTGAGACAGAGTCTCACTCTCTTGCCTGGGCTAGAGTGCTATGGTGTCATCCTAGCTCACAGCAGCCTCAAACTCCTGGCCTCAAGCAATCCTCCTGTCTTTAGCCCACCAAGTAGCTGGGAGTAGGTGTGTACCACCATGCCTGGCTAGTTTTTTCTACTTTTAGTTGCCTGGCTAATTTTTTTTTTTTCCTATTTTTAGTAGTGATGGGGTCTCACTCTTGCTCAGGCTGGTCTTGAATTCCTGAGCTCAAGGAGTTCTCCTGCCTTAGCCTCCCAGAGTGCTAGGATTACAGGCATGAACCATTGTGCCCAGCCTGTCATTTTTTATTACTTCTGTAGTTGGGCACATCATGGTACTATGAGTATTGCCTGCTCTTGCGGTAAGCTAAATGATTTTGAGGAATACAATAGAATTTCAATTCAGAAGACTAGTGTTTTCTTTCTTTCTATTGATAAATACACTTTTTATTAAGCTCCTGGTTTGGTCTCCATTTTCCTTAGGTGCTGCTACATCCTCATCCTCCTCATCACCTTCATCCAGTTCCATAACAGCTGCTGTTATGTTAACTTTAGCTGAACCATCAATGTCCAGCGCATCACAAAATGGAATGTCAGTTGAGTGCAGGTGACAGCAGGACTTGCTAAAGCACTTTGCACTTAATGGCTGTTGAGGGCCACGTCTTTTTTATACTGCACAGTGGCACAAAAAAATCAGACAAGCACTATTTTATATTTAAAAATTGTTTCTTGACAAGCTGACTTGGCACTTAAGTGCACTTTTTTATGAAGAAAAAGTACAATGAACTGCTTTTCCTCAAGCAATAATTGTTTCCAACTTGTCTGGGAATTGTGTGTCTGGTAACTTGAAGGCCTTCCACTGTGGCAAATGGAGGCTTTTCACTGCCTGTAGAGACAATACAGTAAGCATAGTTACGAGGTGGGCCAGAACATGTTAAGATATCTTACTGTATATGTATTCCCTTGTATTTTGTTAAAGCTGGAACATTTGATATTTTTCCATTTATTTATGAAAAAATATGAACCTATTTTCATTTGTACAAGCTAATTGTTTTTTAAAGCAAGTCACCTTAGGGTGGCTTTAATTGTATAAGTCAAGCACATGTAATAAATTCAAAACCTGCAGTTAACAGGATATTAGACATCAATCCTGGTAACCAAATATTAAAGATTCTCTTTAAAAAAGACTGAAAATGTTTACAGGTTTGAATTAGGCTAAAAGGTCTTGCAGTGGCTTTTCATGCCCCTTCAAATTGGAATGGAACTACTGTACTTTGCCATTTTTCTATAAATCAGTATTTTTTTTTAATTTTGATATAATACATTGTGTGAAAAAAGAAAATGGCTAATAAACTGTATTAAATCTTAAACAATGTATAAAGATTGTACTTAGCCAGTTCAAAGTGTATATTTATTCATAATGAATTATAACAGTTATATTTTTGTGTTTTCTTGTAAATGTTTCTTTTCCCTTAAATACAGATAATTCATTTGTATTGCTTATTTTATTATGAGCTACAACAAAAGGACTTCAGGAACAAGTAATGTATTAGTATGGTTCAAGGTTGTTGATATGAACTCTCTCAAAAGGATGGTTATTTTAAATATAAATAGCTAATTGGGGTGGTAGGCCTATAAAATTAAATGCCTTGTATAAAATCCAAAATGAACGCAAAATTGTTTTCACTTGTATTGACTTTATGTTGTATGATTCCAATCTCTGTTCTGTTTGGCACTTGTATTTAATTCTTCACCTTTGTAAGACATTTGTATATTGCGGATGTGTTCATTCAAGCTATTTAATACCTGGCACTGTTAATACACAGTACTTTACTGTACAGACTGTTTTGCTGTTTTAATTGTAGTTCTGTGTACTTTTTTTGGATGGGGCTGGCATGTTTTGTTTTCTGGCAGTACGACGTGAGAATTTCGAAGCGTTTTGTTGTAGATGCTGACGTGTCAGAATCCTTTACATTCAACTTTTCTAAGAAAAGCATTTTCAGTCTTGTAGTGTGTGCTTACCAGTAACTAATTTTGTTGAAAATGGTTTCAAGTTATTCAAATTTGTACAGGACTGTAAAGATTTGTTGACAGCAAAATGTTGAAGAAAAAGCTTATAGAATAAAAGCTATAAAGTATATATTAGGATCTGCAAACAATGAAGAATTATGTAATATATTGTACAAATGTAAGCAAAGGCTCTGAAATAAAATGCCATAGTTTGTGAATCCTTGATTTTGTTTCTAAAAGATTTAAGTAATTTTAGTTCATTTCTGTAGGTGATGACTGACTGGAACATATATATCCAGTATGTATTATCACAAGGGATTGATTAACATATAAAAAAGGGATTCTAACTATAAAAATTAAAAGTCCATTAACCAGATAAGGGATTTATTAGACATTCTTTTATCTTTGCATACACTATTTTGCTTGTGTCTGAATGTAAAATTTTTATTAAGACTTGGAGGTTTGTCCAAAGGAGAAAATCAAATAAAATGTTTATTTTTTCTTTAACACTTGAAACCATTACCATCAGCTTTTTTTTCTTGTATTTGGACCCTTGCTGGTCTCTTATACTCCAGTGCACGCTACTCTGTTGCACATTGGAATCAGATGGGCACTGTTAAAACAATAGTCAATATGCAGACCCCATCCCAAAGAGTCGTATGTAAGTGGTCTGGGGTGATACCTAGATGTTGATCTTCAAAGGTCTCCAGTAATCTTAATATGAATCAGAGTTGAGAAACCCTGCTTTGCACCAAAGTTTTTAAAATCAATAAAGTTTTTTTGCCCCTTTAGTGGACTTTCTAACAAAAGAAAATACCTTCTTTAAAACAAAGAAAATAAATTTTTTTAAGGCCTAAAAAGCTCCAATATGTGTTTTTAAAGCATCGTTGGGAATGTCTGTTTTCATAGAAGTTAGCTTAACTTTTAAGGGATGAGTTTTAAAATCTGTAGAACAGTACTTCCCAAAATGAGTTCCTAGAATTCTGGTCCCTGGAAATTCTCTGGGAATTTATTATCAAACATATTTTGGTAATGCTTATATATGGCACATTCCCTTCTTAGAGATTCACAGTGTTAGCATATTAAAAACTTAGAAAAGGCCTGTGAGGAGACACCTGGCTAAATAAGGTAGGACATGTAGGGGCCAGAGAGGAGGGGAAGAGTCCTGAAGGCCAGATAGGATGAGGTTGCAGTAAGTACTCCGGCTAGGAGGCGATTCATAGAATAATGTTAGGAATTGAGAAGGAACAGGATTGGTTGGGGGACCTGAGGAAAAAGGAATAGTATTTCTTCACTGAACTGTACAGGACCAGAGGCATGAGTTGCATCTCATGTTTGTGTGGTTATAGGTTTGTGTCATTTTTTTTTTATGACAGATGATCAAGATTATGAGAAACCAAAGTAAAGGGCTTGGTAATCAGAACCCAGGGCCAAGCAGTTAAATGTTGTGGGTTTTTTTCATAACCTTATCTGATGGGGGCAATAAAAGGTTCCAGTGAACTGGTTTAGTTAAGAGCTTTCAAAAAGCAAGGCTGTTCCCAAAAGATTCAAAGTCAAAATTCAAATTCAAAATCCTATTTTACCACCCAAACTATTCAATAATTTATCTAGTAATCTTTTATGACCTAGAAGTCAGTTTAACAGGTATTCTCTAGGTACAGCATGCAGGATGAATAAGACAATGGATACTCTTAATGTCTTGCCTTTACATCTAAAGAGAGTGTGTAGCCGGCTCGGTGGGCTCGGTGGCTCACGCCTGTAATCTTAGCTCTCTGGGAGGCCGAGGCAGGCAAGGATTGGTTGAGTTCAGGAGTTCAAAACCAAGCTGAGAAGAGCGAGACCCCATCTCTACTATAAATTGAAAGAAATTAATTGGACAACTAATATATATAGAAAAAATTAGCCAGGCATGGTGGCACATGCCTGTAACCCCAGCTACTCGGGAGGGTGAGGCAGTAGGATTGCTTGAGCCCAGGAGTTTGAGGTTGCTGTGAGCTAGGCTGACGCCATGGCACTCACTCTAGCCTGGGCAACAAAGCGAGACTGTCTCAAAAAAAAAAAAAAAAAAATAGAGTGTGTAAATAACACTAATGCAAAAAACGATTATAGTAGGTATGATGGGGGCTTGGGAAAAGATTAATTCCTACAGTAAATAGCAGAGAAATTTTCATAAGTGAGATAGTATCTGAGCTGGGTCTTGAAGGATGGGTACTATTTTGCATAAGGGGAAAGGAGAGGCAGAGAAGAAAAGCTGGCTAGAATGGAAGGGTTTGGAGGGAGATGAGTCTTGGAGGGCAGGCTGAGAAACCAGCATAGAGAGTTCTGAGTGCCAACCATACACTTTTCCTGGTGGAGCAGCAGAGCAGCATTACAGTCTTTCGAACTCTATATCCATTTGATCAGTTAGAGCTGTGCTCTCCAACTATGTGTTCTTAACTTTATTCACTTCAGAAGATGTAAGAACAGTTCGAAGAACTCTTGTATACTCTTCACACCGACTCAAATTGTAAATACTTCTTTCCATATATCCCCGTAACCTCATTGCTTGTCACACCTCCCTCCTTCCTCTTAAGCAATTCAAGTTTTCTATGTGTTTTTTCCTCTGCTTGGATTTACACCCCACTCCCAGCCTGGTTGATTCTTATTCATACTTCAGGCCTCTGCTACTCTCAGAAGACTTTCTTCACTCTCAAGACTAGGGTTCTCTGAAAAAGGGCGAGGAAAGCCAGCCGGTGGGGACAATTCAGTCTCCACTCCCTTGGCCAGGCCCCAGGCTCCCGCCCGAGCAGCTCAACATCCCACGCAGCCGCAGACGGCGCGGAGCGGAAGGGGCGTGGCCAGAGGGCGGAAGTAGCCGGAACCCGGAAGTGCGGCTCGCGTGTTGCGGCTGTCTCAGAGGCCTTGGAATAAAAATGGCTGTGGAAGGGAAGAACAAACGGAGGAAAAAAAGTGCCGAGCAGGGGTGAGTGGCGCGCGGCGCGTGTAGCTGGGCAAGGATGTTGTGCGTTCGCTTCGGCAGACGAACCGGTGGGGTGTGGCGTGGCTAAGTTTCTGGCGTCCGTTTCTAGAAAGAACCCAGATGACGGTGTTCGCGGGAATCTGACCGGAGACTATCTGGTTGGACAAGTCGCCAATAGTTTATTCCACGACAAGCTCTCCAGAGGCAGCACAGGTCGGCTGGCGTCCCTCTTCAGCTCTTTCGAGTCTCAGGTTCAACCCGTGTACGTGCCCGCGCCTAAAGTAAGTCACTGGGTTCTACTTAGAATGACCCGTTAGAACAACTTTCAAACGAGCGGCTTACTATTCAAAGCGTGTTCTAAAGGCGGGTAGATAGGATTCATTTTAACCCTTTGCACTCGGATGTCGAGCCACACTCGACAGGTTGTTTCACCGCGGGGGGAAGGGGGATTTTTGTCTATTTTTCCAGTATCTTTTCTTGTTTTCATTAGCATGAAAGGACAAGTAAAATGTAAATGCAGAGATGGTACACTAACTTCCAGGGGTAGATTATTATCCACTTAATTAGAGCAACGTTTAGATGGAAAGCTCCATATAATCACACCTCACCCTAACAAAAATCACAAAGATTGTGTTGTTTGTTCTAACAGAAAAATCAAAGGAGGAAGAAGAGAGATGATTTATATTTGCGAAACATGTGAATGTAAACCAGGTCTTCATGTGGGTGAATGTTTCAAAAAGTATCACACCATGAAAAGTTATAGAGATTAAAATTACTCTTTGAATGTATTAATAATTTGAAATATAAAAAAATCCAGATAAATAAGTTTGTATGAAATGAAACTCCAGTTTTTTATTCTATTGCCGCGCTTTGTAAAATCTGGGGTATTTAAAAAATTAAATCCCGAGTAGAATAAAGGAATCGAGAAAAAAGCAAGTGAGTGCAAAGGGTTAAGTAACCTTTGATTATTCTATGTAGCAGTGAGAGAGAAGAGGTGCTAATTTAGAAAGAACACTAGTTATTGGTTAGGGTACAAATTTTAAAAGATGAGGTTTCAAACATAACTTCAAATTTTTAAAAGGAAACCGCTAGAAAAAGGAAACGGGATGAGGAGGAAGAAAGTACATCCCAGATTCAAAGACCACTTTTGGAAGAACCTGCAAAAAAAATGAAAGTGAAGAAGAAACACTCTGATGCAGACAAAAAGTTGGCAAACAGGTTAGTAAAATTCTCTTATTTGATGTTAAATAGATTAGATGATAAAGAAATTGAAATTGTGTCTTAATTTTTCTCTCATTTTATATTTCTAATTTGTTTCATTATTTGGAGGCAAACTTAAGACTTTCATCTATAAATATGATATTTCAACATGTGTATAAAAGATGAGTTTGGTTTTCTTAAACTTATTCAGTCAGAGACCAAATTTTTCCCATTAACTTAAATTTTTTGATTGTGTATTTGAATCGGGATCCAAATAGTGGTACCATCATGTGGTCCTAGTTAACTTTCCTCATTCTTCTCTTCTTTGCCACTTTCTTCAAACTCCTTATTTCCTTTTCCCTTTTCTCTTTGAGCCGAGGACCTTTTCACCTATTCTGAGAGCTATTAATCACAATTGTGCACTGCTTCTGCTTTGGGGCCTATTTACTTAATGTATTTATGCACAGCCTTAATTTCTTCACCATCTTTCAAAGAAAGATGTTTTCCTTCTTGTCTGAGATTAACTTAACTGCCTGTGTGCTGTGTATGCCTGTTCTGCTCCCTTAGGGATTGTGCCATCAGATCCATCCATTTTCTCATTCCTGTATCTTTGATCTTTCCACCATAAAAACATGCTCAAGATTCTCATCTTAAAAAAAGAAATTAAAAAAAAAAAAACCCTATCTACAGATGTATGTCTCCGTTTGCTACCATTCCCTCAATTCTGTCTTTCATAGTCAAGCTTTTAGAAAGAGTAATCTATTCTTACACTCTTTTTACACACTTACAGTCTGGTAGTGGTTGATTTTTGTTTTTCTTTTTGCCCTGCCCATAGCAGTGCTCAGGGAGGCCATCCTAACCTAGTTGCCATCTTTGCCATATTTAATGGGTAATGTACCCTTTGTCTTATGAGTCTTCTCTGTTACATTTCACATGACTGCTTTTCTTGTTGAAGCTACTGGATTCTCTGAGAGCAATGTTTCTTCTTTTTTTTTTCTTTTTGAGACAAGGTCATGCTCTGTTGTCCAGGCTAGTCTTGAACTCCTGGCTCAAGTGACCCTCCTGATTTAGCTCCCCAGTCACTGGGACTAAAGACATGTGCCACTGTACCCAACTGTGTTCTGTGTTTGGATTGATGCTCAGACCTTACTTATCCATGTGTACCAATACTTTATAGTGTATTTGCCATTTCAGAATTTACTTTTGGTAAGCAGTCCTTTAAATATTACAGAACTATTATGAGTAACTATTAGGGAATTTGGTTTGTCCTATTGGTCAGATAGCTTTTACGAAGTATTTTGCAGGCATATTAACCTTTTTAGACTCCTAGGGAGTGTTATAGTGCCCCTAAAGCTTTAGAGCAGAGAATGAAATTAGGCATTGGTAGAGTGAAAATCTCTGAGAGTTTTAAATGAACCAGCTTTCATTTACATAAACCACTTTTGCTGCTGCTATTACCTGGAAGTTTTGGCATATGTATAAAAATTGAACTTAACTTCTTTTAACTCTTGAGTTATAGATTTGTTTTCTAAAGATAACTAGTTAACTTTCTAGATAATGCTGCTTTAAAAATTTCCATATAAGGCCGGGTGTGGTGGCTCACACCTGTAATCCTAGCACTCTGGGAGGTGGAGGCGGGAGGATCGATCAAGTTAAGGAGTTCGAAACTAGCCTGAGCAAGAGCAAGACCCCATCTCTACTAAAAATAGAAAGAAATTAATTGGCCAAATAAAAATATATAGAAAAAATTAGCCGGGCATGGTGACACATGCCTGTAGTCCCAGCTACTTGGGAGGCTGAGGCAGGAGGATCACTTGAACCCAGGAGTTTGGGGTTGCTGTGACCTAGGCTGACCCCACGGCAGTCTAACCTGGGCAACAGAGTGAGACTCTGCCTCAAAAAAAAAAAAAAAGGCCGGGCGCGGTGGCTCACGCCTGTAATCCTAGCTCTCTGGGAGGCCGAGGCGGGCGGATTGCTCGAGGTCAGGAGTTCGAAACCAGCCTGAGCAAGAGCGAGACCCCCGTCTCTACTATAAAATAGAAGAAATTAATTGGCAACTAATATATATACAAAAAAAATTAGCCGGCATGGTGGCGAATGCCTGTAGTCCAGCTATTGGGAGGCTGAGGCAGGAGGATTGCTCGAGCCAGGAGTTTGAGGTGGTGAGCTAGGCTGACGCCACGGCACTCACTCTAGCCTGGGCAACAAAGCGAGACTCTGTCTCAAAAAAAAAAAAAAAAAAAAATCAATATATTTGTCAGTGGTAAGTTTATGTTCAGGAACAGCCAGAAGTCATTAGGAAATGTTTCTAATCATGAGTTTAGGACTGTGCTTTGTCAAATACTAGACCTGACTTCCATGACTTTTACATCTTAATTTCTTTTGTTTTTGCCTTAAAAAGGGAAAGTGCTCTAGCGAGTGCTGATTTAGAAGAAGAAATTCACCAGAAACAAGGGCAGAAAGGAAAAAATTCTCAATCTGGCATTAAAGTTGCACATAGAAAAGTACTTGACGATGTAGATGACACAGATGTAAATCAAAGAAAGAAAATTCAGATCAACCAAGAAGAAGAGAGATCAAAGAATGAAAGAACTGTGTTTGTTGGCAATTTGCCTGTGACATGTAATAAGAAGGTGAGTTTGTTGTTTGTATACTGTAAAAATTTAAAGAAATGGATAACTTTGTTTACCCTTCCTTTATTGAATAAGCCTTTTTTTTTGAGACAGAGTCTCACTTTGTTGCCCAGGCTGGAGTGAGTGCCATAGCATCAGCCTAGCTCACTGCAACCTCAGTCTCCTGGGCTCAAGCTATCCTACTGCCTCAGCCTCCTGAGTAGCTGGGACTACAGGCATGTGCCATCATGCCTGGCTAATTTTTTTTTTTTTTTTTTTGGTATATATCTTTTTAGTTGGTTAATTAATTTCTTTCCATTTTTAGTAGAGATGGGGTCTCGCTCTTGCTCAGGCTGGTTTTGAACTCCTGACCTCTAGCAATCTACCTGCCTTGGCCTCCCAGAGTGCTAGCAGTATAGGAGTGAGCCACCGTGCCTGGCCTGAGTAAGCATTTTTATAAGTTCATTGTAAACGACTTAATATTACAAATAATTCTATAGATGGATTCCAATATCTGTCCCTTTTCATTCCTGTAGGCACTGCCCTAATTCAGGCTTTTGCAGATCATGTTTGAACTATTGCATTGACCTGTCTAGTTTTTTCTTTCAGCCTTATCTCCTATTATATACCACTAGAATGTAAGCTCCATATGTTTAGGGATATTTATCTCTTTTCTTCACTGCTGTATCCGTGACACCTGAAATAGTGCCTTGCACATAGTAGGGGCTCAATCAATATTTGTTGTGTAAAAGAATGAATAGATCCTCAGTTTCTTCCATTATGTGGGGTTCACTGAACCAGAAACGTGCCCTTTGCCTTCTGTGTTCATGTAGTAGTCACTCTGTTGACAATCCTTGTATCAAAATCCTGCTTATCTTTTGAAAGACAATTTAAATTCTATTAGTACTTCCTTAAAAACAAAACAGTACAAAAAATTTGCTGATTTTTTTTCCATTTTCACTTACCCATTTGCTTCCCAGCATTTGCTTTGTGATTATTTGGTAGGACAGAAAGAACATATTTTACTTTGTAGCATAATTTTAGTTATTGATTCTATTAGATTATAAGGAACTCAAGGGAAAGGATGTTTTTACAGTACTTTGGACAAATACTAACCATTCAGTAAATTATTTTTTAGTTAGAATTGGTTGTAGAAATTATTGTCCTATTGAGCAGATCACTTGAGGCCAGAAGTTCCAGGCTATAGCACTCTCTGATTGTACCTGCAGACAGCCACTTCACTCCAGCCTGGGCAACGTAGTGAGACCCTCTCTCTCTCTCTCTCTCTCTCTCTCGCTTAAAAAAAAAATTATTGCCCTACCTATAAAGCATATGCATCCTTCACATCCTGAACCAGTCATAAGAATAATGTATAGAACTTACCCATAAGGATTTTCTTCAGTCTGGTGGTCTAAATTAGGGATAGCTGGAGAATTTCTCATAGTGACATAAGATGAGAGAATCTATGGAAGCTGTAAGTCTAATCTTAATTTACATGTGGTAAAGAATCTAAAAGATTGAAGGAAAAATATTATGCACCTGATGAATACTAATAAGAATTTGAATTGTAGTTTCTTTGTATGTAAGTTTCCGTGAAATTTTTTGTTCATCCAACTGAATAGTCACCTACTTTTCCTGAAATGTTCTTAAAATAAAACTGGAAGTAAAGGATTATCAGACAATTTTACTTAATTTCTTTTTGTAGCACTTACTTGATGTTCTAAAAGCGAGCTAATGTACATATGTATTTTTTAATTTTAGAAGCTGAAGTCATTTTTTAAAGAGTATGGACAAATAGAATCTGTACGATTTCGTTCTCTGGTATGTTTTCTCTCCCCTTACAAATGCATAATATTAAAATGTATTGCATTTACAACAAAGTGACTATAATCAACAATAAGTTAGGGTATACTTTAACTAAAAGAATAGAATGGAGATGTTCCTAACAAAAAGACATGCTAAATGCCTGAGGTGATAGATACCCTAGTTACCCTGATTTGAATTCCCATTTTATATGCCTGTAGCGAAACATCACATGTACCCTCTAAAGATATAGGAAAAGATATAGAACTGTTATGTACCCATAATAATTAAAAATAAAAAATTGAAAAAAACGTATTGCATTTAAATCAGACCTACTAACTTCTTGGTATTAGTGAGATGGAGGAGCACTTGACTGTAACCTTTTCAGTCAAAAGGTTCGAATCTAACCCAAGAAAATAATTGCTTTTGGTATCTATTGCTGGACTTTGTTAAATATTGTAGTGAGTTCATCTAATAAAATGATATCCTTGTTCCTAAAGCCAGCAGTGTATTTTGGAATATAAATGGGTGATTTTTATTTGCTGTGTGAATAGAGTAGACTGAAAAGTTAATACTTAACTGAATAGCATTTCTGGAATCATAGGCATTCTCATCACATGTTGAATCGTAGGCATTTGGTGTGTGAGGTTGGTGTGATTGCTGCAAACAGTACTTATGCTCTGCGCACAGACAGATGAAGTATTTTTTTAAGCCAATTTAATGTTAAAATTTTATAGAAGTGAGTGGTATCTGATTTACCAGCTGAGCACTCTGGACCAGTTATAGCCCCATTGCTTGGAGCAGGAAATGAGCATCATTTGTATTTTGGTTTTCCCACATGTGATTTTTTTTTTTTTTAACTGGGTAGTTGACATACCATAGTGTATATCCTTTGACGCTATTTTTTTTTACATAATTAATGTGTATTAGAATATAGGAAATGTTTATTCCATGTTTCTAATTGCCCTTTCTCATGTGATTCTCTAGAATGAGCTTTCTCAATCTCAATACTTACTGACATTTTGGGCTGGATAATTCTTTGTTGCTGGGGACTGCCCTTTGCATTATAAGATGTTTAGTAGCATCCAGGACCTTTGCCCGACAGATACTGGTAGCAACCCCCACTGCACCCCCATTCTAACAACTGAAGATACCTTCAGGCATTGCCAAATGTTGCTGGGAGCAGAACAGCCCACTGCTCTAAAAGTAGACATTTGACAGGTCTCCATAATTTCCCTCAGTGTGTTTGTTTCCCACTTCTATCACGTATGTTTTGTCTGCCCTTCAAAGTCCCATTTCTCGATGTTAGACTGCTGGCTAACACATTAACTTGGGTGTCTTGCCAGTGCCCCAATTTCAGCATGTCTGTGCTTTCCTCTATCTGTCCCCATTGCCAGCCTATGCTGCCTATTGATTTTCTGTAGTATTTAGTGGCACCTGGGCTTTGTAGTTGCCTTTGAGTCTTTTCACTCGCCCACTCAGCCTAGTGTTTGCCATCCCTACCTGTTTTTCAACTGTAATTTCTTCCTTATGTCAGTCATTCCTTTCTTTTTCCCTCGTCCCACCTAAGTTCTCATTACCTCTTGTCCAGAATAGTTACAGAGGCCTGTTGCAGTTCCTAGCTTCAGTCTTCCCCTGATTTGTGCAGCATATCACTGTCAACTTCATCTTCCTAAAAGCACTTGTTCCTGTGACTCCTGCCCACTCTGCACCACTCCCATTAACATCACACACCTGCCCCCCTTGGCTTGGTATTATCTTCTCACCTTTGGGCAGCCTGCAGATCCTTGTTTGTCTTGCTTGTCTTGCTTGTCCTTGGGTTACCAGTACCTGCACATTGTGCTCATTAAATGTATTGAAGCACCTGAAGACTTTCAGCTAGTCTCACTGTCAGTGACGGTTCCCCACAGGGTGGCACTGCTCACTGAAACACCTCCACTCAGGGGCTGTTTCTCCTTGTCCTTTTGCTCAATTCATTTCTTTTGCCTGGAATCCTCCTTAAAGCCCCATTTTTGCCTATGAAAACACTTTCTTTCAGTATGCAGTTAAAATGTCACTTTTTTAAGCCTTTTCTGATACTTCATACCATTAAGTGGTATTTTTCTCTCTCATTCTTATACTTTACTGCCTTTTCTTATGCTTATTAATATCTTCAGTGACAGGATATAGATCTCGCAGAGGGCACAAAATAAATGTGTTTTTTAAATTTAATTTAATTTTTTAATTTTCATTCTTTATAAGAATTTAATTTTACTTTTGGTCTTCCCTCTGCCGCCACATGCCTCGCTTCCGGTGTGAGCTTAGAGTGCAGGGGAAGATACATGTGTTTTTGATGACTGTCATTCATGTGTTGATTATTTATTTGGAAGTTTCTCATGTCTTACGCTGTTTTTCTCTGTATTTTTTGAGAGTTTGACTATGTATTAGTGATTTGAGCAGAACAAACTGAAAAGAGAAGAAATAGTTCGAATTTCTTAGTTTTACTGTGTATCAGGTGACTAAGAAAGAAAATAAGCTTTCCAGAGGGGGTTTATTACTGCCCTAAATAAGGTTTCCATTCATAGATTGTGAACTTAGAGGGTCAGCATCTTCTTTTCACCTTGATCTTCTGAGTACCTGGTTATATTAGGCACATTACTGACAGTCATAGTTTTTGAAGTTCTTTTCTTCCATAACATTTTCCCTACTTTTTTTCCCATTCACTTTTTTTATGTCGTAAGTTTATTTACAAACATGTTGATTATGCTATATGAGTTCAAGAGTTTGTTCCATTTTTCAAAGAGGTTACGCCTCTTAAAACGTTCTTCATATCAGTTAAATGAACTGAAACATCCTTATTTCTTAAGCAATTTGTGTGTTACTTCAAAGAAAGCTGCATCACATCCAGATCCAAAGTACAAAGTCATCATAATTAGGAACTGCTGCGTGTTTTCCACTGATAATGGCTAATTCTTTTTGGGCCCTCTTCAGAGTGGTTCCTGTAGACTACAGACATTGTGACTCTCCAGGTGCTCTGTCCTAAACTGGTGCTGTTGGAAGCTCAAGAGACCAAGAGCTGGAGCAGTGGCACTGCACCGAGTCCTCCTCATGTTTTCATGGCCCTATTCCCCACATCCCCTTTTACTCTTAAGGGCTGTATATGACTGAAAATAAAGTTAGCCTGGATATGAAAGGAATTCCCATACTTGCACAATTAAAGACACCACTAATTTTCTTTTTGCCAATTAGATTAAATAAGCTCTTAGAAATATGGATGAAGTAATGTATGCTTATATTATTTATCAGTTTAGTTGGATATTTAATATTATAGAATATACAATAAAATATAAGCATTGCTTTTTTTCACACTCGTTTTATAAAACAATTTTCCTTCCATTTTTCATGTGTCATCAACATCAGTGTCTCTTCCTGATGTCCTCCCCCTCATTGATAGTTTGAAGGCTCAGTATCTTTACTTCTGTCTGGGTTTTTTGAGAGTCACTATCTGTTAAATCTGAGTATGATACTGTCATTGGAAACTTTTATCCTAAGTAAGCCACAAGGTCCCTTTCACATAACATTAGGATAATTGTTTCTGATTTATTTCCCCAGTGTGTTTTTAATCACAACATACCAGAGTTAGATATTTAGGCTTCAATTAAAATATAATTAATATGAAGTAATATTTGAAATATTGAAGTTTCTTTAATACTTTTCTTTTCCCTCTTAAAAGATTCCAGCAGAGGGAACTCTATCCAAAAAGTTGGCAGCAATAAAGTAAGTTTATAATTAGAGGAAGGTAATTGTCTTAAACTTTCTTCCTTTTTGGTTAAAAATTGAGATCGTTTCGTAAGAATTTCATAGACTTTTATATTTTTATAATATAGCATGTTTGACTGTTTCCTTATGTCTGTAACACCCTTTAAATTTATCACATTTGTCATTTTTTTTTGAGACAAAGTCTCACTTTATTGTATGGGCTAGAGTGTAGTGGCATCGTCATAGCTCACAGCAACCTCAAACTCTTGGTCTCAAGAAGTCCTCCTGCCTCAGCCTCCCTAGTAGCTGGGACTACAGGCTTGTGCCACTGTGCTTGGTCCATATTTCATAAGTTCTAAGGGGTACCTTATAGTTGCTGTGGGATCAAAGTGCTCCTAAAAATAAGGGATGTCTCATACTTGCTCAGATTTTTCCAAAGAATTCATGTTTGTTTCTGCCAGTCACAGAAACTGGGATACTGTGAGCTTGTGACTGCTTTTAAGTTCTCTTTAAGTGTTTTGGGACTGGTGGTGTGGCTTGTGGTTCAAATTCTCGGGGTTATTTTTTCCATCCAATGTTAAGAATGAGACTTACATATCTCCTTGTTCCCCCTTCCCACGGGGAAGGTTTCTCATTTACCTTCAACGTTATACAGTTTCTTACTAGTTTCACTATCTTGGGTGTTTCTTTCTCAGTGATACACGAAATGATGGATTTTACAAGCAGAGGTGTCTTTATATTAGATAAAATATAACGTACTTTAAAAATATTTCTGGGAATCCTGTTCTGTCAAAGGTTACATTACAGCTGTTCCTTTGGATGTCTTTCGACTTCATATTGACATTCTTAATCTTAATTTGGAGTTACTTGAGCAGAGTTGCATTCTTGCCCTTTTTATTCTCTGTGCCAAGGAGATCTTTTCCCAGAGAGAGTACAATGCAATTACCGAGATTTTTAACAGTCACTTTCCAGCCATGTGTTCCTGGGGAGGCACCACGGTGTGTTGGATTTGCATGTTGTCTGCAGCTGTGTGTTGTGTGGAAAGAGTAGGGCTCACGAGTCAGCTAGACGTGGCTTCAGTCCTAGGCCGGTCACTGTGATTGTGGTTATATATCTTTCTGAGTTTCAGCTTCCTTATTCATAAAGAGATGACAGATGGTGAGATTAAAAGTGATACATAAAATGTCTAGCTCAGTGCTTGGTATATATCAGGCATTCAATAAATCATAGCTGGCCCTATCAGTCTAAAACTATTAAATAGTATAGTACATTATTATAGAATGCCATGAGCCATGCTGGGCACTATTTTCCAATACCTGTTATTTGTGTAGTAGCATCTTTGTAAATTTTATAGAACACTCATTTGTGTAGTAGTATTTTTGTTACTCCAAAATGATAGATTGATGTGTTCAGGGAATGATTATGGTCATTACTAGATCCTTTTGCTGACTTATCACATCTAAATTATATCACCGTTTTGCAAACCTAGTGAATCAATGGATTTAGGCAGGCGTCCTCAAACTACGGCCCTCAGGCCGCCTAGCACATTTATCTGGCCCTCCAGGTGTTTTTGCTGCTGCTGCTGCCTGTCCTGCTTAGCAGCTGGTCCTGAACCCACAGTGCGCACTCTCCAACGGTCTGAGGGACAGTGAACTGGCCCCCTGTTTAAAAAGTTTGAGGACCCTTGGGTTTAGGCATTAAGTAGCACCAGCTGTAGCCATTTTGAAAAATAGTGAAAACCAGTCATAAAATGCCTTCCCTTGAAAGAACATAACACCTTCCTACGGTCCTGGCAAAGGCAGGTCCTGGTCAAATCTAAGTGTGATCAAACCTTGGGATCCAGCTTTCACTTATAAGAAGCGTCAAGGACAGAGGTACATATTGAACTGCATTATGAGCTTGCAGTCAGCAAAATCCAGGCTGTCGGAAATTCTTCAGGTCAAGTGGTAAAATAAGGGGAAAATCCTATAAACAAGATTCAAAAGGCATATCAAGTCAAAGAATGGACAAGACCAAAATATGATGTCCAGGAATAGATACTTGGGTGGTAAAACCACATAGATATGCAGGGGAGTGGTTCCTATCAAAGGGGACAGTGGTTACTTTTGGATGTAGGGGAGAACTACATCCCCTACAGGGGCTGTACTTGGGAAGGACCGTAGAGAGAAACTTCTGGGTGGGCGATAGCTGCAGTGGTATCGAGCTGTTGTTAATTCACAGAGCTGTATACACTTGTGTACTTTTCTATTATGGGTGTTTAATTTTACAGTAAAAGGGAAAACTCAAATTGTCTTTCACATCTATTTGCGTGTGTTAGATATGGAGTAGCAGCTGAGATAGTAGTTTCTAGTCCTCATATTGTTCTCGGGGATTTGCGTACTTCAGTGTCTTATGGGCATTCCCGTTTTCTTTTTTCTTGTCTTTTTTTTTTTTTTTTCTTGAGACGAGTCCTCACTCTGTTGCCTGGCTAGAGTGCCATGGCATCAGCCTAGCTCACAGCAACCTCAAACTCCTGGGCTCAGGTGATCCTCCTGCCTCAGCCTCCCAAGTAGCTGGGACTACAGGCATGTGCCACCATGCCCGCTAATTTTTCTATATATTTTTAGTTGGCCAATTAATTTCTTCTTTTTTTAGTAAGATGGGGATCTTGCTCTTGCTCAGGTTGGTCTTGAACTCCTGAGCTCAAGCGATCTGCCTGTCTTGGCCTCCTAGAGTGCTAGGATTACAGGCATGAGCCATTGCGCCCCGGTCCCCTGTTTCTTATGGTGATGACTACACACCTGAGAAGGTGTGGGTTACATGTCTCTGCCATTTGTAAGTTATTTTTTGGGTTATTACTAAATATTTGTTCAAAGAGATGAGTCTTCTACCCAGCAGTTCTTGTCACATGTTGATTGAGTAGAAAACAAGCTGGATTTATTTTAGTGGCTTAGAGGCTTAGATGTTAACAAATCTTACATTGTGGTTTTTTTTTTTTTGGGCATGTAGGCGTAAAATTCATCCTGATCAGAAAAATATTAATGCCTATGTTGTGTTTAAGGACAAGAGTGCTGCTACAAAAGCATTGAAAAGGTAATTTTATCTCTGAGGTTTGAATAGAATTATTGTCATATAAATGTGGGGGGAACTTTTTTTATTCTTTGGTTTCACTTTAAAGCATGTAAGTAATCTATGGCTCATTTTTAACAACCATTTCTCTTCATATTTATAATGTAGAAATGGGACTCAGATTGCAGATGGATTTCGTATTAGGTTGATCTTGCATCTGAGACTTCATCGGTAAGTAGTACTTGATTTGTTTAAAGAACCTAACTAGAGTCTTGTAGAGAGAAGTATTTCCTTTTGAGCTTTTGCTGGGAGGGCAGTGGAATCAGTAGTGTGAGCATGAGGGATGCACAGAAGGAAATAGCCTCTGTCCTCTATGGTCACAGAGATGGTATGAAGAGTGGCATAAGGACTTAGGTCAACATTATTGTTAGTTTTCCTTTTGAAGTATGTCTCCCACCCTGCCATTAGATTAAATAATCAGGGGGAATTAGATTGGATAGTACATTAGAGATATTTGGTCTAGACACCTTAGTTCATAGTGAGGTCTAGAAAGTTCCATTATTCATTGGACAGTTTTTTTAGTATGTGCTCCGTCAGGGTATAGTCCTAACACATAGTCTCAACTTTCCAGGAGCTGACAGTATATGGCGGGGACAAGCAGAGGGACAGTGTGGCACTGTTACATGATAAATACTGTCATAAATGCACAGGATGCTTTGTCAGCTCAGGAATGGGGCACTTGACTTGGGGACCTGCCAGTGAGAAGGGACAAGGAAGGTTTCCAGCAGAATAGCATTCATATTAGTATTGAAAGATAAGGAGGTATTATTAGCCAAAAATGTTTTAAAGGCAATGGCAATATCTGGGAAAAAAAAAAAACCAGTGAAATGATGACAGAAACTTAATTTGCTCAAGGAATGGCAAGAACTTGGTACAGTTATTAGGGATATGTAGAGTATGAGAGGCATTAGTAAGGAGTTGGTATTGGACAAATGGTAGAGGTCAAATCATGAAGACTTGGTCTGCCATGCTTCATGCAGAGGAGTCGGATTTTATCTAGGAGATATTCTCAAAGTTTAAACATGACAGTTATATAACTAGATTTTCATTTGACAAAGGTGTCTGGAAATGAATGAAGGATTCTTTGTAAAGGTTCACCCTCAGAAACACAGTGCATTTCTGTCAGTGTCAAAGCACCTTAGTTGAGAAATGACAACAGGCTGGATGAAAGCCCTGGCTTTACCTGGCTTTGTTGAGACCTAGGCAGCATCACCAGCAAACTATGGCTGAGGACCAAATCCACCGCTACTGTTTTTGTTAGTAAAGTTTGTTGGCACCAACCAACACCCATTCATTTCTGTATCATCTATGAGCTGTTCTCCAGCTATAAGGGCAGAGTTGAATAGTTGCAACAGATACCACATGCCCACAAAGCCTGAAATATTTGCTACTTGGCTTTTATGGAACACGTATGCAGACTCCCAGCATAGCAAGTGGTTTCTGAGCATTACCATGTGTCAGTGTCAGCTGTGAATGAAAAGTCACTCCTGCCTCTGGTGCTCACTCACAGTGTAGTGGGAAGATGGAAGAAACAGTTAAGGGATAGCTTTGTGGTTAAATCAGATGAGCACATCAGATATGGGGACAAGAGGGATGGGACTTAGCTAGGATAACTTCCATTTCTTGGTTCAGTGAGTGATTTTCATTAACCCTCCTTGTGTTTCAGAGGGACAAGAGATCAGTATTGTGGGATCTCCCTTACAGTAAGTGTGTTTAAACAAATAAAGTAACCTTTTAAGCTAATAACAGGAAAATAAAACTAAGTAGTAATTAATGTTTGCTTTAAGACTAACTTTAGGCTGGGTGCAGTGGTCATACCTGTCATCCCATCACTTTGGGAGGCTGGAGGGCTGGTGGGGGTAACTACTTGAAGCCAGGAGTTTGAGACTAGCCTGGGCAACATAGCAAGAAACCATCCTTAAAAAAAACTAACTATAAAAAAGCATGCAGTGTCATGACATATTTTCAGGGGCTATGTTTGACTAGCTGTAATATTAAATGTCTCCACTTCTCTAAGGAGAGGCCAAGTCTTTACTTCCATTTGGTTGAATTTGGTTTAGAAGTTGAAGAATCTGTCGTGAGAAACACATTTCTGGATTGTGGGAGTATCGTGGCAGTGAGGATTGTGAGAGACCAAGCTACAGGAGTTGGCAAAGGGTTTGGCTACGTACTCTTTGAGGTATGGAAGACTAATACATTTGTCTTTGAAATGTGCTGGTGGCGTTGACACTGCTATGTCATCTTTCAGACATAACTCTTATCATTTCTGTCCTTAAATTCCATCTGAAGAAAAATTCATAACCTGCCATAGAGTACTGTTGCTAAAATGGCACTTAACCAAAGATGTCTAGTTCCCTCTTCCTTCATACTAATTGTTACTAAATAATGTTTTAGATTTTGGATATTAGAAGGAACAAGTCTCTGAATCTCCACTTTTAAATGGAGAAATAATTGAACATTTACTCAGGTAAAAAAAGTTTGATTCTTGTACAAAATCGGTTAATTTAGTTGACTAATTATTAACCAGTGTTTCATGCCTATAATTGTTAAGTAATAAAAGAATATATAGACCGGCCCGGTGGCTCGTGCCTGTAATCCTAGCACTCTGGAAGGCCCAGGCGGACGGATCGCTCAAGGTCAGGAGTTCGAAACCAGCCTGAGCAAGAGCAAGACCCTGTCTCTACTAAAATAGAAAGAAATTAATTGGCCAACTAAAAATATAAGAAAAAAATTAGCCGGGCATGGTGGCGCATGCCTGTAGTCCCAGCTGCTCGGAGGCTGAGGCAGGAGAATCTCTTGAGCCCAGGAGATTGAGGTTGCTGTGAGCTAGGCTGATGCCACAGCACTCTAGCCAGGCAACACAGTTGAGACTCTTATCTCAAAAAAAAACCCAAAAAACAAAATATACATACAGTCCGTCCTTGGTATCTATGGGAGATTGGTTCCAGGACCGCCTCCGATACCAAAATTTGGAGATGCTAAGTCCCTGATATAAAATGCTATAGTATTGGCATATAACCATGCACATTCTCCTCTATACTTATTTTTATTTTACTTTTTTTGAGACAGAGTCTCCACTTTGTTGCCCGGCTAGAGTGAGTGCCGTGGCATCAGCCTACTCACAGCATCCTCAAACTCCTGGGTCCAAGAGATCCTACTGCCTCAGCCTCCCGAGTGGCTGGACTACAGGCATGCGCCACCATGGCCCAGCTAAATTTTTGTACATATTTTTTAGTTGGTCAATTAATTTCTTCTTCTATTTTAGTAAGATATGGGTCTCGCTCAGGTTGGTTTAGAATTCTTGACTTGAGTGTCCGCCCGCCTTGGCCTCCCGAGTGCTAGATTACAGCTAGGCCCCATGCCCGCCGGCTGGCCTCTCCTGTATACTTTAATCATCTCTAGATCACTTATAATACCTAAATATTGTTGTACTGTATGTTTTATTTTATTTTGTTGTGCCCCCCCCAAATATTTGTGCATCATAGTTGTTGAATCCTTGGACACTAAACCTAGGATGCAGAGGGCCAACTATACCCTGTTATTTGATAGCATTAAATTTTCTTCCCTCATTGGCAACCTGTTAATATACTGCTTTTAGTTTTATCCTCTGCGCCTTTTTGTAGTTGAACTTCTATCTGTAACATAAAGTTTGCAGCCTGCTTTTGTTTCTATTGTGTGTGTTCCATTGCGTGATGTTATTATTTGTACTGTTTTTCCCTAATATTGGACATTGGCAGTGTTTCTATTTTTCCCTGTAATAATTAAATCAGTGTATGCCTTTTCCTCAAAAGTTTGCCTGAATTTTGGTTGGATTACTTCTTTAAGATAAATCCCCATTGGGATATCCTACTGACTTTGATCAGTATTGCCAGGTTGCTTTTTAGAAAGGTTGTCACAGTGTATGTTGCCATTATTACTATTCTCTGCTGTCTTTTTTACTTGATAACATTGTAAAATCCTTTATCAAATATCTTAAGAGTTCAGGGTTGTTCACTAATGGTTCTATATTAGAATAAAGAACAATAGCTAGGAGGAGATTGAATGTTCTAACACAAGAAATGATATTTATGAAATGATGGATAAACTAATACCTCATCTGATCACCATATATAATATTGAATATCACTGTACCCCATTGAATATGTAGTTATTATGTATCAGTTATAAAAAATAAGGTAGGTGGTGGTGCACACACCTGTAATCCCGCATCTTTGGAGACTGAGATAAGAGGATTTTGAGGCGAGGAGTTCAAGACCAGCCTGAGTGACACAGTGAGACCCCATCTCTACAAAAAGTAAAAAAAATTAGCTAAGTATGCTGGCACACGCCTGTAGTCCAGCTACTTGGGAGGCTGAGCACACGAAGATGCTTGAGGAAGGAGTTGGAAGTTACCATAAGTTATAATGGCCCATGCACTCCAGCCTGAACAACAGCAGCCAGCCCTGTCTCAAAAAATAAGATATAAATAATAACGATAAAAATAAAATAACAAATAATTTACCGAAAGAAAGAATAATAGAATTTTGGATCTAAATGGACCCTAGGGGTTATGTAAGCAACATCTCAGGGACTGTAATGGAGATCCTGCCTTCAGTCAACTAATTCAGACAGAGCTTTGACACAAAAGATGCCTTGTGAGAAGGGGGTTCATTGTTTAAAAGACTACATATGGGCCGGGCGCCAGTGGCTCACGCCTGTAAA